GCTGAAAACTTACGTCCACACAAAAACCTGCACAGATGTTTACAGTAGCTTTGCTCATAACCGCCAAACCTGGGAAGCAGCACAGATGCCTTTCGGTAGGTGGCTGAATAAACTGTGACACATCCAGACAATGAATATTATTCGACACTAATACGAAATGAGCTATCGAAGCCATGGACACCCTGAGTCCGACCGGCCCGCCCCTGGGGCGCGGCGCCCGGCAACTCACTTCTCTCGGCTTCCTCACCCCGGGTTGCGGGGGCCGTCTCGGACGCCGCGGCGGCCCCGCGGCACCTGTGGTTCGGGAATCCCTTCAAGTTTTGCGGGGCATTTTCGAGAGGGGCCCGCAGCCGGGGGCGGCGGCGGCCGAAGACCCTTGGCGCCCCCTGCGCGGCGGCGGATGCCATTGTCTGCCCCGCTCTTTTTTTCTCGTCACCTCGCCGGGGCTCGGTCAGTGATGGAGTGCGTCCCCGTGGGGTGGCGGGGAGGCATCGGAGACGGCTGGACCGAGGAACGCTGGCCCCGAGCCCGCTCCGCGGCCGAGCCCATTGTTTTTAATACCGATCTCGAGGAATTGAGGTGCCCTGTGATTTGCGGCAAAATCAGAGCCTTGGTCTTTAACCAGAGGCAAGGAATACTTGTTCCTTGCAAGCGGCTGTCGTCCCATGTTAGCACATTATTTTAAAGAGTGAATTATTTAATCGTCCTATAAAGTGCTGGTAGTGGAGGATTCAGGACCCTGCCGCACAGACAGCCTCGAATTGAAGCCCGTGCTCCTTTCGAAAGCAAACCCCCCCCAGCCCGCCTGGTCACCAAGATCCTGGAATACGGAGCTAATCTTTTCCAAGTTCTGATAACGGGCTTCCGTTAAACGTTGTCCAGTTGATGCTTTACTTGCTGTCCTCCTCGAATGCCGCTATCTGAACAGGACATGTATGGGAGGCACTTCGATATCACCAATATTGTTCGTTAATTTTGTGCCAGTGAAGCGTTTTAAGTGTGGTGTAATAAGCCAGTTTTAACTTGAATAAAGTTAAAATGCCGCATCGTAAATTTTAAGTATCTTGCCGATGCCTGTTTGGATTAATACAAAAAGGGGCAATAATTTCTTAACGAAATTTAGGGCTCATTTTATTTTAAATGGGTTGTGTAAATTCTCCCACCCCATGTTCAAATTCAAGATGGTGTGGTGAATATTAAGAATCAGGCCGGAATCTTTTATGTAGTAACACAGTTAGAAGAACTTAACAATAGTTAAAAGAAAAAAAAAGATACCTGCCTGAATTCTACCTTTAAATTACTTTTATAGGAACAGTGCTTATCTGTCTGCTTTTGAGAAGACCAGTTGAATTACAAGATACAAGAAGCTTTTCTTAAAAATTAAGCATGTAGACTAATCGACAGATTTGTAGATTCCAAATATATATAAAATAGTTTAAGTATCATATACACTAGAATTCAGCATCCACTCCATCTGTAAATGCTTTTTTAAAAACTTTGAAGTGTTTCATGTACTGTCTCTGAATGTATATAACTCTTAGTTTGGCTTTTTAAAGGTTTATATTCTCTTCCATTATTTTACGTTACTACTTCTTTATTGTGTGAATATATATGTTGGAATTTTTAAAAAGTGAGATGAGATACTTAAAAATTAAGCTTTTATTTAGAAAAATGTTCATTTACGGGATCTTTTTTGGGTTGATATTTTAGATCTTTTATTTCTTATAATATGTAAGCATAAACTGAAGAGGGCATTCTAAGTGATGACAGTCTGGTTATAAGTAATTCATCCTGGAACTAGAACAGCCTCAGGGTGAAAAATAGCAGGTCTCCTGTTTCCTTCAAACGTACCTAAACCAATTGATGTCAACAGTTCTCTTTTGATGCATATAGTGTGGAATATAGCACAAGTATACAATAGTTTCTTAAATTGCAGAAGTTATCTCTCTTTTTCCTCAAAATTTTCACTCCAACTTAATGCCTGTTTTTCTTTTTGTTCTACAGACTCCAAACTTACGTGGAACAGGGTGGGGTGGGGAGATTTGCATCTGGTAGGAAGATTTTTCTACAGGAATTGCCTCCTGCTTTAACTGCCATGGAAATATTGATGGCTGCTAATCATTTGTCAGTTAAAAGCCGGGTCTCTCAAAGCTTCTCTATAAAATATGTTATCTTAATCTTAACTTTATTGAATCAAAGTCTTGCATGTAATTTTGATTCTGTTTATCTTAACAGATGCAGTTTATGTTGCTTTTTAGTCGTCAGGGAAAGCTCCGACTGCAGAAATGGTATGTCCCACTATCAGACAAAGAGAAGAAAAAGATCACAAGAGAACTTGTTCAAACCGTTTTAGCACGGAAACCTAAAATGTGCAGCTTTCTTGAGTGGCGAGATCTGAAGATTGTTTACAAGAGGTATAATTTTTATTTCTCCGAAAGGCAAAATAGCAAATGTTCCATCATTGGTAATATGGAAATTGCAGGCTTTTGAGAGATGACACTTATAAATAATGATTAAGAAATATTTAGGTGAAAAAGGTTTTAAGTTAAAGGTTTGTATTTTTAAAATAACTGTTCTTTTAATTGATTACCTAATTATATTTTTTAAATAACTGTTCTTTTAAAATGATAAAAGCAGGGAGGTTATTTTAAAACTAATTATGTTATTAAAGGCATAAATGATTATGCTCAATCATCTTTTTAGAAAAATTTAATAATTCATTCCTTTGCAAGGGAAAAAAACAGGATCAGTATTTTAAATTGTGTGAGTAATTCTCTGAGTTTAAATAAGCATTTCCCCCACCGTCTCCCACCAAATCTGTAAAATAATAGCTGATAATTGACATGCCTTTTGTCTGACTTTTAGAATCTTACTCACTTATAAACACTCTTTGGATACATAGACCGTTTCGGTCACATAGAGGTTTTAAAATATTGTGTATATACAGGATCTCTTTGCTAGTAATGTTTATTAAATTAAAGTATACTTGTTGCTGTGCTGGAGGTGTGATCAGATCTGATAGATAACTTTGCCAAGAATAGATTTAAAAATTTTTGATGTTGCAAAGTGACTCATAGATTGGCTTTGAACATTAAACTTTTTTAAAAATGCTGTATATCTTTACTAGTATCTGAAACTTTTAATACCTTAAAATAAATTTCTCAAGATTGTTCTAATCCGGTTAAAAGAAAAATGATTACTTTGTTTCTTCCCCATTTTTGTTCCTTTTTATAAATAATTTACTGTATTTAAGATATGAGGGTTTCTGCATAAAAAATTCTCTGGGGGATGTGCAGGGAAACTAACAGTACAAGCTTATCAAGAGGATAAAACTCCAAGTATAGATGGAGTTTTTTGTGGGGGAGATGGCAGAAGAAGTAATGAGATTATAGGACATAGAGAAAATTTTAAATCCCATAAACTCTTCTTTACAGTAGAATGAATTTAGTAATCTTTGGGTGATTTTGTATCCCGTATTTGGTTTTTTTTAGAAAAATCCTAGTATTTTAGGGCTAGGAGTTGTCAGAATAACCTAGTCAAGTGATTTGTATTTTTTTTTTTTTTTTTTTTTTTGAGGTAAAATTGGTATGTAACATTACTTTTCAAATGATTTATTTTTTACTTTTTTTCCTGGTTCTTACACTCATCATTTATTCATTCAACAATCATGTATTAAAGCCTTCTATGTTTAAGGCACTGTGTCGGGCTAGTTTTTTTAAATTTTTTTTTTTTAAAGCTTTTTGCCCTAAGAATAGAACCTTAAATAAAACAACTGGAAGTGAAGCTGCCCTTGTGAAATCAAGACTGGAATCCTGTACCCCTACTTACAGGACCTCTACCCTCTGCCTAGAAGGTGGTTCCTGAGTTTGAAAATTGCCTCTGTTGATCAAATGTCAATTTTATTTAAAACAAAAAACTGGAGAACTTGGGAGAAGTGACTTGTCCAAGGTCATATGCTAGTTAGTGACTGGCTAGGACTCGAATCTTAATCTTGGAGGCAAAGATTTTAAACAGGGGTGAAAAAGCAGACTTGCCTTTTTTAACAGGTCCTGGTAATTGGAGAATGGGTGGGGGAAGGGCTGTGACTGGCACCTGAGGGATCTGTTAGGAGATTGCAGGCACTATAATGAATTCCTGAAGGAAGACCTTGCTGTGGGCTCAGCAGGTGGAAAGAGCTGAAAGAGCTGTTACCCAGGTAAGTTTTTTAAGAGTTGGTCACTGCTGGGGGTGGGGGGACGGCAGTGAAAGAAGTGGAGGAGTGGAGGGAAACCACATTTCTCTCTCTGTTGACTGGGTTAGCGCTGAGCTAGTAGACAAGTTGACTTTGAGATGCCTCATTTTCTTGGGACCGGCATAGGCATGGAAGTCTAGGGGAAAATTGGGCATAAAGTGTTAGATCGCCAACATTCCAGCTGCAGGCAAAGGGGGAGGAGAGGGTAAGTATAGGATTAGTACTGTCAGAGAAGAAGAGAAAGTTTCAAACATCACGTTACCAATGCCAAATGTTGCATTAAGTTCAATTAAAGTGAAGAAATAATCTGCTAGATTTTATAGTGAGCATTTCATAAAATGCCCTTTGTCGGGACATTTTCAGTGGAATAGTAGAGACAGAACTCTCAAAGAAATGGGGTAAAGTGTGAAGAGGTGGAGACATTTAAATAGCAAATGTAGACTTTTGGGGGGAGTTTTGCTCTGAAAGACAGAAGGCATGATAACCACCCATAGACAGGAGTTGGGGACAGGGTTCAAAAAAGAAGTGAGAGACTTAAGCTTATTTCTAGATAGGGGAAGGAGTCCCCCATGTGGAGGAGGAAAATACCAGCAAAGGAATCAATCCCACAAATCAGGATTTCTGCAGCGGAAGGAAATGGCCTATTAAACGAAAAGAAAGAAAGCACTAGTTAGTGTTCCCGCCCACAGCATTCAACCCACCCATATTGGACCACCGCTTTTTCTTTAAAAGGCTATAAAGGGAATCTAACCTGACTCTGATACTTGCATCAGGCTCCTATAAATAAAAGGTGCATTAAAAAAAAAAAAAAAACTTTATTGAGATAAAAATAACATACAAAAGTTAGAATTTATAATCAGTTTTTCTATGCATCCTCCCCCATTTCATACTGAAAAGGTCATCTATTGTACTTAAAGACATTTTCTGTTGATATAAACAGGTGATTATTTTTCCCTAGTCCAGCTGGAAGAGAAGACCTAAAGAATTACTGCTTAGCTCCTGAGAAATTTTGAGCTAGCACTTTTCCCTGTTTAGATCAGCAAGTAATCTTTATGTCTTCCTTCCTCAGGTTGTCTCATCCACTTTCTCCATCCTGAGTATTTTGCATATTAATTCTCCCTCTTGGGAGGGAGTCGTGGGAAGGGACCCAAGATAAAATAATGTAGCTGAAAAAAATTGAAAGTCTGGGGTCTTGAGTTTTATTTTGTTTATACCACTAACTAGCTAGTTTTGTGACTTTGGAAAAGTCATGTGGCCTGTTTCCTCATCTCTAAAATAAATGCTCTTGACAATCCTGTGAATACAGAAAACTTTTTTTTTTTTTAATTTCTATTTTGTGCAGCATGTTATGGAAGAGGCACTGGATTAAAGACTTAAAATTAAAAAATACACACGTCTCCAAATTTTACTAACTTGAGAATTTGTCAAAGAGTACTGTATTGATTTTCTTTACTAACAAAAGAATTTTTAATGACATACCAGTGGGTATTGAGAACTGCTTAGTTACATTCACCCACAGTCAGCTGATATTTAGCTGACTGCGGAGAAGTCATGGGTTTTGAATATAAGAATAGGCACTTTCAGATGTTCTCCGAGTGCCAGTAATTAGAGTAAGCCTTAATCCACTCTGCTAAAAATAACCAAACATACCTTTCTTACTAGTCTATTAATTTTACTTTAGATTTAGACTTACAAATATGTACTAAGAACAAAACGAGCTCATTATTGAATTTTTAAAAATAATTTGGTTCTAAAAATAGTACTTCAGGTTCTCTTGGTAATCTTTTAGTAAATCAGTATAACAATTTTGATCTCTCCCTCTTCAAAGCAGTTTAAATATTGCTTTGAATGTTTTAATTTTTGCCAGGTGCAAGATTATTTAATACAGTTGCTGGTTATAGTTTTTAATATAAAACTTGGGCTCTGGAGTCACATTGCTATTTGTGGGGAGGTTGCTCAGTTAAGCCTGGGTCTTCTACAAATGTGAGCAATGGTATCTCTCTAGAAGTCGTGTTGTGAAGATTAAAAATGGTGAGATATGCAAAAGCCGTGGCTAACATTTAGTACCTCACTCAGTGAGGGCTCAGTGAATACTACCAGTTGTTATTACGCTTTCGTTTCCTTCCTAAGCTTCCGGAAAGGTGCCTTCTCATAATCCTGAATAACTAGATGTTCACCTACAATAAAAAATTCATTTAATTTGATGGCTCTTTTGTTGCAGGTTTTTATTATTATTATTACTGGTTGGTACTTAGATACATCAGTCCTGGTGATAATCAATTATTTCCAAATAATTTATTCAATTTAGGACCTTTGGCTAGTGTTTAAGTGCTGTTTATTTGTAAGTGAAGAGGCAGTACTATGGGTAGGGAGCAAGGTTGGTGCAAGCATTAGATTGCCTAACAGTAGCATTGAAGAAATCTTGAAATTAAAAGGAATTTTACCCCAAACTGATTATTAGTAATGGAATTATTTAGCATTTTGTTCGTGTTAGCTAGTCATGTCTGGTTTTTATCTACCATTTTAACATCAGTCCCGTTAATCTTTAGTTTTCTTAGTTCAAGGAACCTTACATAATCACTTGTATCAATTTCTCCAAATCTAGAACTCTATTTGATGAGCATGCATTAGGGAGGATGGAGACTTGTAATATTCTGTTGCCTTCTAAACAGATAAAAACATAGGGTAGTGCTGGGAAAGAGAGGAAGCCCTTTGTTGAAGTTGGAGGTGGTGCCCTGTTATGTCCTTCATGATAATAAATGAATGCATTCAGATGCTTCTCCAAGACTGCAGGAGACCTACCTTTTTAAATAACTTACTGTAGAAGTCAGGTAGAATGGGTATGGCCAAAATCATGCTGTGTATGACAAGGGCTCGGTGGTGGAAGATGAAAAAGTATCTCAAGTTAAGGTCCAAAGATCAGATTTCTTGTCCCAGTGCAACCACTTGGCAGGCCCTGTATACTTAGGTCTTAGTTTTTTGTTTTTTGTTTTCCCCTTCCATAATCAGCGATGATGATGTTTGCTGTTAGAAAGATCAAATAAGATGAAAAGTTTTTGATAATACTGAAATTAGTCGACCGTTATATAAATACTAGTTATACTGAAGAGCATGAATTTATTGAATTCCAAAACTGAGATTGTGTGCATTTGTATATTTTACATTAATGCTATGAACATTATTTTATGAGCACTATTGCTTTGTATATTATTTTACATTAATGCCGTGAGCAGTGATTGCCTATTGTGTTTTCCAAAAATCACTTAAATGCTCTTCAGTGAAAATTACAATCTGAACTGAAATTTGTTTAGAATATCTTAGGTTTTTATTTTGTTTCTTTTCAAAAGCCTTAAATACGTTCAACCATGTGAAAATTCTCTTTTAATCCTCCTCAAAAGACTTGGTCATCATTTGCTATACCCCGAAGATTGTATATAAGTAAGTTTTGGCTTTCTTGAGTTAAGTGTAACCTTGTGTTGGAAAT